TTACCGCACACACACAAATATGCAATATGCATACACACAAATACACAGACATGCATGTATATACACACAGATACCCATACACACACACACACACACACACACACACACACACACACACAGTGATTGTAGGCTGACATTTACCTTTTTTGCCTCCCAGAATGTTGACAATTATTACTGCTAAGATCTGAGAATAAACGAATGTCAGGCATGCATGTTCAGGCTGGTGTTATTTGACAAGCAAATGCAAACTCCGCATCATCTCCCAGATGGGCAAGCTTCATTCGTGTGTAAAGATGAGTCTGTTTAAAATGCTCAAACACTAACACAGCAAAGGGGCAGATAATGGATTCTAATGCTTCCCTTCCTTCCTTCCTGCTGCAACCACAGCCCCATGCATAGAAACAAGGAGTTTTGCAGACCACAGCTGCCTCTGACTGGAGTCAGTTGTCTTTGGAAATCTGAGGGTGATACCCAGGAGAGCCTTGCAGGTATTTCCCTTCAGCTTCTGAGAGATGGGAGGAAGCGGCATGCTCGAGGCTTAATCTGTATAGACTTAAAATGTCCATGATTCAACCTCTTCCTTTATTGCTGTTTGTTTTTTCTAAAAGGGCTCAGTATGAAAATTCTTGGCTCTCTAATAATCCCCTTGATGAACTCTTAATTCCACATTAGGGGAGCAATACTATAGAGATCATTTCCCACTAGTTGCCTAATTATCACCAGTTAGTAGACAGCCTGAAGACCCAGGGCCATGTCTGCCTTTGCACCTGCAGAGCTCTCACCCTTCCTTCAAGATCTCTCATCGACAGCCTCGCTGTGGGCATTGTGTACACACTGACTCCTAGCTGTTCACAGGAAATGATTATTTTTCTTGAATATCTTTGTTTCTCTACAAGAGTATCTTATATTTAAGAATGTCTGAATGGATACTACGCTCTGGTTTTCCATATGAAATATGAATATGAAGTTGAACAAAGACTTTGTATTCAAAATCATGGTGGTAGGCCATCTACAAGTATACACAGGGACTGTCAAGATGCCTCAAGTGTGTAAAGGTACTTGCTGCCAAGCCTGGGTTTGATCCTTGGGCCCCACATCACAGAAGAAGAAAACCAGTTTCCAAAAGTTTTCTCTGACCTATGTATCTCTGCGGTGGCACACACTTACCTATATACAGACACATTTGCACAATAAATAAATGTAGTTTCAAAAACAAGATAAACATATACTCAGGGTGCCTATACAGGCGGGGGGGATCTTGAGTTATAAGCCAGTTTGGGCTTATAACTACATAGGGGGATATGTCATAAAGAAGCAAATAAGTATACTCAGGATATTGCTATCTTCGCTTAGGCTTGTGTTTTTGAGTAAGGTTTCAAATACACAAATGCAAAGGCAGAAAGCAGGGAAGAAGCTGCAGGAGGTAGGGGTGAGGTCAGGTGGATGAGTGAACCTAATCAGGCACAGGGAAACTTGTAGGATGGTGGAAATATTTCAGAGGGCATGGTGCTTGCAGGAGTGAGGCATTTGTCAAAACCATCATCCACACACTTAAGATATGTGTGTCTTAGTGTTAATTAATTTTGTTTCAAGCTTGGATTTTAAACCACGTTCAAGAAAACAAAAGAGGTCTTTTGGATTTATTGTTAGGTTGAGAAAGACAAATGAATGATGGCTAGCATTGCTTTGCAGAACTATTCAATATCTACCTTCAGGGTTTGGACTATTTTTTTTTCTTCCTTTCTTACTTTGCCTAAATGGAAAATCAACCCTCATTGAGTTACTGCAGCTGGAAGTAAGAGAAAGCCGAGTAATGAGCAAACCGACAGCTGCCTCCTTGAGGTGCTTCATTTTAGTGCCAATGCCTTTAGGGACTCTTTGCAACTCCAGTTTGAGTCTTAACTCGAGCTATGAATCATGAGTGCTGAGGGTAGGTAGGGAGACTGCAGCAGCTCTCTGCTCAGAGAAAAGAGCATTCTGAACAGCTTCCAAATCAGCTTATTTAAAGAGATGTCTGAACACCACCAGGTTCATAACTTTCCATTCTTTTCAGCTTAGACTTTGAATGTGCCTTGAGTTAGTTTAAAGGAGTTTAAGTGTGTGTGTGTGTGTGTGTGTGTGTGTGTGTGTGTGTAAATGTCTGGAAGTAAAAGGGTCTTCACAAAAGAAAGGGGCTTGCTTTTCTGTAACTCAGAGCCCTCCCTCCTTGCTTCCTCTTCTAGTCTTAGGCTACCTGACTCCAGTGAGCCTCTTTTTGTTGTAAATCCTACATCCAGGAACATTTGAAGTGTTTGACCAATTGCATAATATCTTCCTGTGTCAGTGAGGGTTTTCAGGAAAGACAAGACCAATAGGAGAGGGGTCCAGAAAGGCGAGCGGGAACATGTGAGAGAGATGGTGGTAGCTGAGATGGTATGCTGCTCCTCCATGGCACTTTGCTGGGTAGAGCTGAGACTAACAAGGCTGCATCCATATCCACTCAGCTGCCTGTGGCTGCTACGACTAGGCAAACTCAGGCAGGATTTGTGTCCATATCAAGAGCAATTTATCATTATGCCTTTGTGAAGTTCCACTAAGGGAAGAACTTCCTTTCATGTGCAGTTATCATGAGTTCCATATTCCTGCCCACATTGTTTAATAGTCTGGATGTTGGGCATGATGGGTAACTGTATAGACATTTAGTAAAGCAGAATGTACCAGCCAAATGTACCAGCCTTCAGGAGGCTGAAGCAGGCTGACGATTGGGAGTTCAAGTCCAGCTTAGGCCGCCTAATAAGACTCTGTCTTCTCACCACTACACCAGAAGTAGTATGCCCGGTGTCAGAGGGCAGAGGAGAGCCTTGGGATGAATTAGGTAGGCAAGACTCTCACACAGCATGGAGAGAAATCACTCGGTCAGCCAGGGCCCAGGAGGAAGAGATAGAGAAAGTGAGCTGGTTCTATTCACTTCCCCACTTCCCTGGAACTAAAGCACCCTTATCCACTGTCCCGGCCATTGAAAGCCCATGCATATTCTCTGGCCTCTAGACCTGGGGCTCACTCCAGCAGCTGACATTTCTCAGGCCTTTGGACTAGAACCAAGAATTTCACCATGAGTTTCCTCACCTTCTGACCTTAGGCCTTGGACAGAGTGGCAATGAGGCATTGCAGAATCCTTAGCCTGCAGGTGGTCTGTTGCCAGCCATCTTGGCAGTGGTGATCACGTGAGCCACTTCCTTTCCTCCTCACCTACTTCTCTGCCTCTTGGTGTACATCCCTTAGCAATCCAGTGGGTCAGGCCAGTGACTGCCATTGTGAATGTTCTCTGTTCTACTCTGGATTTCCTGCTCTGTCAATCACTTTAAACCTGCCAAGCAGTGATGTGTACCTGGGCCTTCATATTTCCAAACTGGAATGTAAAACTACTATGAAAATAATTTGCATTTTATAACTTGCCACGGAGATTACCTGTTAAGCTGGTTGGAGTCTCCAGAGCTATAGGCTGAATGTAAAAAACCCGGGGCTAGACAGCCAGGGAACTCTGACATTCAGGGCTCAGTACCTCAGTGCCTGTTTTTGTAGGTGCAGTTTTATTTGGGCTGTTGGTGAGGGGAAGCCTTTTCCTATCCTGTCTCAGGGGCCTGCAAATTAAACTGGCAGAAAGCAGATTACAGGAGAAAATATTTGTTCAGACATGTACAACGTGTGCTAAGTGGTGAATGAGTAACTGGGAGGGTTGGCGAGGACAAGGGATTATATGCCTAGTTCAGTAGGGGAAAGGGCAATGGGAACAATGGGAAAATCAGTTGAGAAATCTTAGGAAAAACAAATGGGTTTCCAGAAGCATGAATGAGACAGGAAAGTGTGACAGTGGTTCTCTTGGTCTTGGGACTCAACAGAAGGGATTTCTAACTATTTACTCTTTTCCTCTATCCTGGGACTGGACCTGCCCTAAAGTGAGGGTGCATGGCAGGACTTCCCAGAAGTGTTTACTGTTAGTCAGATGAGGGTTGCTCTAAGAAGGCTTCATTTTGATCTGTTACCCTCCAGTCATACTCAGTATGAAGAATCTTTGTACTCAACTTGGGGTACTGTGCTAGTCACTGCAGAACATAGGCTCTCTAATCACGACTATTCATGAGCGCCTTTACAGCTTAGAATTGTCGAATATATACTGTTAAAATGACAATACATTCCAGATACCTAGAACCTACTGAGAATCAGAACTTATTAGCAAGGACACTACAGCAAAGCCATTATTTCCCTGTAATAATGAAACAGCACTAAAAGCCTTAGTTATACTTTCAAATCTTTGTTTTTCTTTTTTCCTTTTTTGAGGTTGGGCAAAAACAATTAGAAGTGGCAGGGCTTCCTGGTGCATTTCTTGTAATCTCAGAACTCGAGAGAGTGGGGCAATGAAGAGTTCAAAGCTGCCCTGAAATACAGAGTGAGACCCCACCTCAACGTAGGTACAGCAAAAATCAGGAGCTGGGGGTGTTCACTTTACGAAAGTATAGGTGAAGATACACAGTGGTAGTCTAGCATACAAAAGACCCTGGATTTGTATCCCAGCACAGCAAAAAAGGAGATATTTGCACATGAGTTTGGGGGTCATTAAAAGTTCCGGGTGGCCTACACATGGAAAGCAGGGACTATCATAATTAGAGGCCTTTGGTTTCTGGGAACTTAGCTGCTTGCCTTTGGAGCTGAGCCCCTCCAACCCATGTGAGGTTCTTTCTGTCAAATCA